AAATGAATAGAAGTATGGTGGGTTAAGGGTCGAAAACTAGCTTACAGTATAGGCTCTTAGTTGTTCTGATTGGTGGAATTGTCGATGGGGTCTTGCTGCTTCTCCATCTTCTTGGTGGTGACAGCGGTCTCCTCGTAAACCTCACGCTGGGTCACCTTGCCCATGGACTTGCTCTGCTGCTGCTGCTGCTCCTCCTCGTCCTTGCTCTTGGAGCTCTTGCCGGAGCTGCTGTACATGCGGCTCTGGTAGTTGTAGCCTTGCCCGGAACTGATGCTGCTCATGGAGGAGCCGGGAAAGCTGATCCCAGTCCCGATGCGGGTCTCCTCACCCTCCAGCAGTTTCCTTCAGAGAGAACCATAGGGGAAAGGTTTAGAACAGATAGAGAGTAATTGGAAGAAACAGCATTTTTACAATGGAGAAAGTGATTTTTCTCCCATTTTATGTCTGTATCGTGTCTTTTCAATTCCTTGTTATGGTTATCATAACTTATAAAAGTGATTTTTAATAGTGAGAGTGAGTTGTCTATGAGAGAACAGCCTACCTGTAAGCTGCAATCTCAATATCCAGTGCCATCTTGACATTCAGCAGATCCTGGTACTCCCTGAGGTGACGAGCCATCTCGCCCTTAGTGGCCCGCAGGTCGTTCTCCAGCTCCATCATGTTGTCCTAAGGGGAATCAAACAATACAGGAAAAGAAGGCCAGGGTTCAATACTTGTTTGAAGAAAAATAGTTTGTGTGTACCTTTCTCTAAAGGGAATGATGGCAGTGCCCAGACATAGACCTGTGTCGATCCTATTTTTAATCCAGTGTGTAGCTGGCATTCTAGTCATTTATAAGCAAAATTGTGTTTGGTCTAAAAAAACAAACATTTTCTCAGCTAGGATTGTTGGATCCCAAACAACAAAGAAAACATACTGATCTAGCAAATCCACTCAGTGGGCGTTGTCAGATGCAGCAGTGGCGCGCTGTCCCATGGGAGTGAGTTTCAGCACCACGGACAGAGCTCAGCTGCTCCTCATATTATTACCGCACCGACAATTATTTGTAATATAAGAAGAAATGCCCATATGCAATGTTTACTGTTCAATGTTACAACACCTTTATTCAACTGAAAATGAAAGGATTTTATAGCATTTAAAAAAGTCATTAAAGGTGATTACCTGGTAGTTTCCAATCTCCATATTGTGCCTTTCCTCCATCTCCCGCAGCTGCTTTTCCAGAGACTCGTTGGATCCCCTCATACTCTCTATCTCGATGGTCTTGGACTGCAGCTGCCTCCTGTACTCGTTCAGTTCCTCCCTGCTGGCGCGGATGGCGTCATTGCTCTTGCCGGCCTGCTCGGACAGGTCGGCGAACTTGGTCTTGTACCACTCATCGGCGGACTGCAGGTTCTTGGACGACATGGACTCGTACTGGCCTCGGATCTCCTTCAGGGCGGAGGTGAGGTCCGGCTTCGCCACCTCTATCTCCACGGACACCTGGGCAGCCTGGATCATGTCCGTCAGCTCGGCCACCTCCTCCTCGTGCACCTTCCTGAGGAAGTTGATCTCGTCCAGGAGAGATTCCACCTTCTTCTCCAGGTCCAGGCGCACCATGGTGGCATCATCCACATCTTTCTTATAAGCCTTGAGGGTGGCCTCAGCTTCCTCCCGGGCGCGGAACTCGTCTTCGTATTTTCCCCTGACCTTATGCAGCTCGTCCTCGACGGAATCCCTCTCTATCATGAACTGGGACTTCTCCCCGCTCAGCTCCTCCAGCTGGGAGCGCAGTTCGCGGATCTCTTGCTGGTAGAGCTCCGCCAAGCGGGACGGTTCGGCCTGCCTCTGGCGCAGAGCGGTCAACTCCGTCTCCAGCACTGCGTTGTGCTGCTCCAAGGTGCGCACTTTGTCGATAAACATGACAAAGCGGTCGTTGAGACCCTGCATTTGTTCCTTCTCATTGGTACGGACAATTTTGAACTCATTGTTGAGGGCATTGCTCTGTGTCAGGTCGAAGGTCTCCAGTGGCATGGAGCGGCCGGACTTTCTGTTGTACGAGCCCAGGGCTGATGCGTTGCTCCGGGACGCAGAGGAGGACCGGTAACCTGTCCTGGAGGACATGTTAATGGTTGACCGCGACGGAGAGGACGCATAACGGGGAGAATCCCCAAAAATCTTGCGGTAGGAGGAGGCGGAGAAGGATTCAGACCCGAAGCTCATCTTGGCGTGTATGGAGAGACAGAGCAGAGCAGTGGGCGCGTCTCCTTTATATAGGGGGACCAGCCCAGTCACTTATTAATGCAGAACATATGAACATCCGGCTCATTGCTTCCATATGCGTCAGGTAGAACAGCAAATATAAGAATCAATGTTGCATTTTTTTCTTATTACTATTCTACAATTAGTCTGAGGTAATCCTACTATTGGTCCAGATATGCACAGTGGGAAGTTTTCTTTGAGTGGAGCAGATGGAACTGTCCTTTTTGGCGCAGTGGTGCGTCAAAGTTGTATCGCTTGTTTTACACTTAAAACTAATAATATAGGAAATGCTCCTCCATAAGCAAATGCTTATATAATTCATATTAAGGGAGCCTCTCCATCTGTTTCTGAAGACGAAATATAGGCTATCTGAAATGTGAAAAACAACCCTATATTTACATAAAGACTGACATTATTTTAAGGAAGGACAATGATGATGCACTTTCCTACAAAACGTTTGAAGATAGGCCTATTTGCAAATAGCACCAGAGAATTATATATTATTCTCTAAAACATTTCAGTGACACTGTCCCACAAGTGTCCCAAGAAATTAAGCACGGTGAGACATCGTTTTACAGGCTGCACTTACAGAAACTTTGTATCGTGTGTTTCTTTACAATGACACTAATATAGGCTATTAAAAGTTAATTAAAATGGGGGGGGGAATGACGTGTGAGTTTGAACTAGAACCACATCGTAATTCATATTAATTTACCTTTTTCAAAAACAATAGTTGATAACTTTAGTTTGGCATAGGCTACTCAAGTTTGCTCAACATCCCTTGAACACATCTCTCCACTTACAGGCCTTTGCTGCCCTCTGTCGTCAAATTGCAGCACATTGGCAGACGGGACATTTTAATATAAAGGCTAGGACCACTTGGCACTTTAAAAGCTGTTTTATATCCTTTTTTACAATGCTGGTTAATTTGTAGTCACCTTTTTAAAGCTCGAATCCCAATTAGTCCAACGTCCATCTGATGTGGAACAATATTAACACAGCACATCGTTTTCATGTCCTCATTTATGGATATGTTTATGTTTATGCCATAAATGAATGAAAACAATATTTTCAAACCTTGTGTTTCTACCCAATGTGCACAGCATACGATGTAGACGAGAAATGTTAATAGAACTTCCTATTATTGTTTATTTTTATGATTACACATGAGTAACCAATGTGTGTTTGAGAGTAGTTTTTTGAATTCTTGTTGAGTTACTGTATGTTAGAAAAAATCGGTTTCCTAATGATCTATTGTCAGTCATTGTGCTGCATTTATGTTCTTGGATGGAACAAATGTGCTAGGGTTTTGATTGGATACTGAGGCAGATTTGCTGTGCAATGAGAAACAGACCACAACCAAACAACAGACACAAAACATACATGACTTAGGGCTTTAAAGAATTAAGAAGTGCTTGTTAGAAAGAATGTTAAAAGCAACACCACTGCTGTTTAGCAACTGCAGTTTCAAAGTTTTTCTTAACAAGTCAAGATAGAGTTAAGAGGTAAGTATGCCTTGCAGCTCATTCAGAACTTTGCAGGGCATAACAAGATGTGCATATTTGTCAGACTCCACAGTCCGGCAACTATAATTAGAAGTTTGAAGGGGCACTATTATGGTAATTATTAGGTTTTCTTTTCTGCCTCTACTGTGACATGTTTACATGCTTTATTGTTCAAAAAGGTCTTTATTGTTCTCATACTGCCTGCTGCAGCACCTCTTTTCACCCTATGTCTGAAACCAGAGCCCAGTCTGCTCTGATTGGTTAGCTGGCTGGCTCTGTTGATTTGCCAACCACTTATGACGTACAATGTGTTGGAGCCAGCTAATAAGCGTGAATGTCGAAAAGTGATGTCACTATTATGACAACAAAGGAGTCCACTCGAGGCGGGGGGGGGGGGGGTCTGAGGGAGGGAGCCATTAAATAAAAGGGTGTCGTTTCGGCCTCTTATCCCAGTTTTTGGCGAGTTGTCAGCAGTTTCACTAAAGAGTATAACTTCTCAAATGGTTTCACTTAGTCGTTTGAGGCCCAGAGGTTATTCTACAACATTTAACAAAAAAAGCTAAGAGTTGACACATGGTGTGTCACAGAATTGTTTCTTATTTCCTTCCCCATTTTTTACGACTTTGGAATGGCGACCTCTAAGATGATAACCTCAGGAATAAACTCTTAACTATCTTAAGCAGATAACTAGCTCCACATTGACCAGCTACATAAGGTACATGTTATTGGACATGCATTGATTCATTATCAGTAGTGGATACCTTCTTAGTACATTTACCACTTCAACTTGTTTATTTACATTTTCTGTATATTTTATACTTTTTACTCAAATACATTACTTTGTTTACATTCATTAATTTGGACATTCAAACTCGGACTATACACAAAATATTATCAATACATGACATATTATAGATTAGGTGACAATTCACAAGCTACCTGGCATTATACAATTAAATTACCAAAGTAAAACCTGTAGTAAAGGAAAATGAGACCTCCATGTTTACTATCTGCACCAGTAAACACGTGATAAACAGTAGTGTAAAGTAGCCAAGTATTTACTTAAGTAGAGTACTTAAGTAACATTGTGAGATACTTGTACTTTACTTGAGTATTTCCAGTATACAAAGTCACTCGGTAATCTTTTCACTGCTGCCTAGGTGTCTCTTGTAGTGAACTGATAACAGAAGCAGGACCGCGGTGTCACGTGTCTGTGCCACGACGACAGAGAGTCCCGCCTCCTCCTGACAGACAGGAGACGCATCGCCCCTGAACGCCTCACAACAACAGCTGGTAGCACAGAGGAAGAGAGTGAGAGCTAAGCAGAGAGCAGGAACAGCACTCATCTGCTGCCTGGCGTTTTACAGTGAAGACACTTAGGAAAACACAGCGGCTATTTTCCTCCGACTTTTACACAGCTCAAGGCGCATGCTCAGACAGACAAAGTGACGGTGCAGTTGTTTTATTCAGGAACTCGGAGGTGAGTACAGTAATGCCAGTCACGACTTAACGCAGTGGAATCTGTCCCCGACACTTTGTGGCTTTTGTTTTTGCATCAAAGCCAGCTAGCGCGTTAGCTTTGCCCGAATCACTTGTATCCGTCCTTCTCAGTAATGTCAGCTATGAGATACAGAGCCGGACAGAGACTGTTTGAGCGGACTGTTAGCTAGCTTCACAGTTAGGCAAATAACGGGACGTTGTCTTGTACCGTCGTTAACCCCTGCGAACAAGGGCTTTCTTTGCTGTTAGCTTGAAAATATACTTTCACAGTAAGTTAGCTTAAGCTAATCTCTCACGCTTCACCCATCGTTGGTTTAATAATATCTCTTTTAAATGTAAACAGCGATGTAAACGCTATTACTACACGTAAACCACATCCTATGTTGAGTGACAGCTAACGTTACGTGTACCATTGTTTGAGATGAGCGTCGACCCTCTTTCTCAAGTCTGACCTGCGGCAACAAAGCCTGTAACAAGTTATCTTATGCCCTTTCTCCAGAGAATGTTTGCAGGGTAGAACTGAAGGTCTTCCTATTGTTGGAATGTGAATCTCTCCAAGCCACTGCTCCCTTTAGCTTCAGAGCCCAGTGGACCCAGGCAATGGGCCAAGGTGTCATAAAGGCATTAGCTGAAATAATAGAAATGCATTACCACGATTAGAAACATCTTTGAAACTGTCTAGTTATGTTATTTTCAGACCCTGTACGAAATTAGATTCCAGATTGTAAAAGACAGACATGTCAACGCCTTTGTTTAGCCTCATGTATAGTCAACATTTATTGCGTTGTTAGTACTCTAACGCAGTGTTTGTTGACACTTGCGTCAGCGTGCTAGTTTAATTAGCATTTTGTGCTGGCACCAAAAGCAAGAAAGCTGATCTGCCTTTGCTTCCTGCAGCACAGCCTCTCCAGTGACAGCAGAATGATAGGGAGAAAACAAACGTACAACTCTGGCCTTAAGGACAAGACTAGGCTTACATAGCATTCACGAGACATTGATTCCACACATTATCCTCTCTGTCCTTTCCTCTTTGATCCTTTTTGTGCATAATCTGATGATTCATTATCAGAGAAAGACTTGATTGTGTTATTTCCGTAAAATACCGTACTATTATGACCTGGCCGTGTTAAATTGTTTCATTTGATTCAGTCTTTTTGCTCATGGCTTTGTTCTTTGACTCTGCCTTGTGATATAGCTATGGTTAGATCAACAGACTAGGTTGAATCTTCATGGTTTGATCTGTCTCATAAATGAACCCAGTGGCCTCACTGGCCCCCCACCCATCCTCTGCTCCCCCACCATGACCTCTATTTGCAGTTGAACACACCATGACAAAGTCTGCATTAAATGATGATGATGAATGACAGTGCAATGATGGAAAACAACAATTATCGACAGAATGTAAAGGGATTACAGGTTGATGTTATATCAGAGCGGTTTTTTATAGTTATCTGCTGAAATGAGCATGCTAACTGACTAGCCTGGGCCTGTCCCATCATGTCATTTAGTTTGGTTATAGGAACTAAATCACAATGGCTGAAACGAGAAAACGCAATTCCATCACAGCTGGTTTATCCCAGGGGGCTTCAAACTTTCTGTTGCTGCCTTGCAGGTTAAACCAACACTTCTCCAGCTGTGAAACGGGGATGTTTTGATAGGAACCTTTTTTTCTACCATATTGCATCCATTAAAAGAAACCTGCTTACTAAGCTCTCTGCTGCTAAGATGCGTTGTGTAGGTGGTTGAAGCTTTAGGGCTGCACTGCACTCCACCTAAAGAAGATGTATGTTATATTCTGATCGTCTGCTATAGCATTCTGGATCAAATATTGCCTCTGTCAAAGGATACTAAGGAAGCACTCAAACCACCTCTCATACCTTAGACGATAATATTGGCTACACCATGATTGACACCATTGTTCCTCTGTTTTAAGCCGTCAACCAACTCCTTATTGTTCTTGACCCAACAAGTCTGGATTCCTGTAACTGCATATTGGAACACTTAAAAAGAACAACACAAGGTACCATCGGACCTGTCGCATTCGCTTCACAATCATTACATCGCTAATGGGCATAACAAAGAAGAACTTCTGGTCAAAGTTATCAGCTGACAGAAGATTGCTAAACTTGTGGTAGAGCAAACATGAAGACCGAGATGCAGAAACTGTGATAAAGAAGCTCCAGTACCAGGTAATGACAATGCATCCTAATGAACGGTTGAATGAAAGTCTGAGTGAAAACATGTGGACAAAACAGCTGGTGGGACTGCTATTGCACAGCAGTTCAAATACCATGTTGTATGTTTTGAAAAGACCTGCATAACATCAAGAGACGGCAGCAGTGTGTGGCAAGAACCAGTCTACAAGGCACAACTGGGATGTTTCTGTCAGCAAACTACTCAAATCTACCAAACGTGGTCAATGTGGACTTGAACGCCTTCGGAATATTGTGGTCAAAATGTATGACAAGTCAAGTGAACGGATGGTGTTGATGATGGAGGGCCGGACATGTTTTCTCGAAGCGATCTCTCCTACTCTTGCAGCTATTCCTGCATGTAATACTGTGCTGACAACCAAGCAGAATGCATATGGGTCAATCAATACTCTCAACCAGAAGCACAAAGTCCTGCAGACTGGGGATGCATCGGGAAAGGTTATCTGCGGCAGAGCTATTGCAGACCGAGAGTTGGTCCAAGATGAAGTGGATGCGTATACGAATGCCGTGGAAGGTGCAAATGCTACAGCTTTGGTTTGGCCTGCACAGCGTTGTGTAGGTGCAGACTGGAAGACTAGATTCAAACCAGAGCATAGTTTGATTATACATGTACATTTAACTATGAGAGGACAGACTAATGTTCAGGTTATTTAAGTTACAGATGTGTTCAATGATAAGACATTTACATAGATGCTCAAGTGGTCAGTTTACACATGACTGCATTTTACATATTGTATTTTGTATGCTGGAGAAGTGGTTTGAACAGTATGGCTTTGTTCAGTTCTTCGTTTGCAGATACATTTACTATTTTAGTGCAAAACTTCGAATACAATCAGTTGAAAAAACGCTGTGTTCATGCGTATTTTTTCACAGTGCATGAATCTGAATGTGTTCTATATCTAGAAACGTGTCATTTGACAGCACAATTAGGTGCACGGACAAAGAGATTAGATGAAAACAAACAGGGCTTCTTTTCAGTCAAATTTGGGTGCTTCTTTTACGATTTACAACATGTTCTCTACTTAAATGTGAAGAACATTATAGTTTAGCTTGCTTGTTACTCAACAATCGTCTAATGTAATGGCATTAGATTGTGTTTGTGTCTAACTGAATATTTTCTAATTGAACCCCTCCATTTGTGTTTCTTTCTCCCAGACACTGAACGGTTTTAAAGATGACCACTTCATGGAGCGACAGACTGCAGAACTTTGCAGACTTGCCTGCAAACATGGACCGCGTGACAATGAAAAAATACAGAAGAGAGTCCTACCACAGGTGAGGGACACATGTGGAGGTACAAGGTGCATTTCTGACTGAAACTACATCCAGATGGGAGTGTTTCAGGCCATAAAATACACAGTCAGACTTTGAAGTCAGTCCACACCAGTTAGTTGTGTTTGAAATGTGTCAAGTAGAGTATTTATCATGAAACTAAAGATTGAAAGTCATCCAAAAAACATCCAACATCCATTCCCCTCTCTTACATTTCCACTTGGAACCCACCCAAAATATATTACATTATTTAATTTTAACCAGACTGTTTTTAAAGCAAGGCCTTTGATAATCATTGAACTCAACTGAAACGTTGACTTTAATTAAATGTATAATGTCAACAAAAATACACATAATTGTATTAGGTAAATTAAAAGCAATATTTTTGAGTTCAACTTCATATAATTGCTTTCAACCAACCTAACTAAATGATGTGTCAATTGTTGACATAACACTTTTAATTAAAGTCAACATTTCAGTTTATTCAGTATAGTATGTCTCTTAATGCAGTGTTTGCCCTATATACATTCAGCTGCGCCGCTGCTGAATGTATGCACGCCGATCCTACGGGGCGCCAGCCAGGTACCAAATAATAATACGTGGCACTCGCGTCATCGCCACGGAGGAGCACACAGCCTCTGCGAGCGAGCGCACACCTTTATCTATTTAATATACACTGAACAAAAATATAAACGCAACACTTTTGTTTTTGCTCCCATTTTTCATGAGATGAACTCAAAGATCTAAAACATTTTCTATATACACAAAATAACCATTTCTCTCAAATATTGTTCACAAATCTGAAAAAATCTGTGATAGTGAATCGAGTGGCCTGTGCTCGTCGTCCATAACATACGCCTGCCCATACCATAACCCCACCACCATCATGGGCCACTCGATTCACAACATTACCCTACCCCTAACCCTAACCCTACCCCTAACCCTACCCCTCACACCAGATACTGACTGGTTTTCTGACCCCCCCCCAGACCCCCCCCAATAAAGCAAAACTGCACGTTTCAGAGTGGCCTTTTATTGTGGCCAGCCTAAGGCACACCTGTGCAATAATCATGCTGTCTAATCAGCATCTTGATATGCCACACCTGTGAGGTGGGATGGATTATCTCGGCAAAGGAGAAGTGCTCACTATCACAGATTTTTTTCAGATTTGTGAACAATATTTGAGAGAAATGGTTATTTTGTGTATATAGAAAATGTTTTAGATCTTTGAGTTCATCTCATGAAAAATGGGAGCAAAAACAAAAGTGTTGCGTTTATATTTTTGTTCAGTGTAGTTGTAAACAATAAAGTAAGAAATCATTCCAATGTGTACAATAGGACAGTAAAAAAAAAACAGTTTAAAAGGAGAGTGATTAGTAAAGCATAAACCTGTTATTTAGTCACGTGGAACCCTTTATTTCTAGAACAGGTTTGGTCTCATAGATTTTGGGTGTGGTTTTCACACTATTATTCCAAATTCCCATCTGCCCCACGCATGGCAAAATGTCACTGGTCTGTTGAGGTCCTGGAAGTGAGTGAGTGAGTGCATGAATCAGCTTATAGTTGGCTTGGGGGCTAAACAACACTTTCCACAGTTGCTGAATATGGAATGAAGTTGTTTGTTCTTTTGTTAACTTGCGCAATAAAGAGTCTCATTATAGTTATACCTGCTCACTGGAAACGCCCTGCAGTCATTCTGAATGCCTCATGTTAGGAAGCATTCAGCCCTGTGAGAGCTATAAAACATGTGTTGCTGGTCAATGTTTAACTCAGCCTGAGATATGCGTGTGTCCACTTCTGCTCTCTCACAAGGTTTATGAAACTGTCACTCATCTGTTAGCTCTGCATGTGCCCAGTTGTCCCCCCCCCCGCTCCAGACACACTCCTCCAAACAGCCACACGTGCAAAGATAAAAACAAAAGGTACAAAGGTGGAGTAGAGCTCAATAGAAACAATCTAAAGAAAGTGAGTAGTTCAGTTTAATTGAATTAACCATTGAAAGTGACGTTTTTGTTTATCTCAAGAAGGGACGAAGAGCATTCCTTTTTAAAGTAAGTGCTCGGCTGAAACAATGCAGCCTGACCGTGAGTTGTGGGTATCACATAGCACAGGGCTGACGACTCTGCTCGGAAAAGATAAACTTTCTATCTCAGGGAGTAGAACCACTGTCTGCAGGAGATTAGAGAGCAGTGGAAACAATCTGATAGATTGTCACACAGCTGAGCTCACATGGAGTAGAAGTGGTTAAAGGATTCTGTCCTCGGTGTGGTGCGGCCCATGAGGGATATTTGAGGCTATCGTGTTGTCAGTCGAACCAAAGTCCAGGCCGACTCCGTTAATCAAGGTGCCCCCACCCATCGCATCCCCCACCCATTGTCAATATGGGCGAGCTTTAGACCCTGATCTCACTTAGGTTATGATTTATGGCTCTCATTTACTACACCTCCCACTTATATTAAGCAAGAGGTCATACATGAAATGACAACTGCTCAACAAAATATTAAATAATTCGATTTGAATCCCTCTCTTGAAAAGGCGTAGGCTGGGTAAACGCTGAGAAATTCTGACAGGAGTAATATATTGGTTTTTATGTTAATATTTAAGTTTGGCTATTTAAAAAAAAAAAAAAAGTTTCCCAAAATAAATTCAGATTCAAAAAGTAGTTGTTCTGGGTTAATACTTGTTCTAAAATTATTTTTCTTGAATCAAATGAAACAACATTTTCTTTCTCTGCTAGCAATTTAGTTGATTTGAGCAATTTTAAATTTGACTTACATTTGAGATGCAATTTGACCGATCAAAATTGAGCATCTTAAACATTTATTTTTATATTTAACTCTTTTTTTATTTGAATTTCCAAGTATAAACAGTTATGATGTAATGAATGTCTTCAACAACATTCACTATTAATTACATTTAACAATCAGGCAGTGAGGTGCTTAAAATACATCCATGTTTTATAAAAGGTACAATTAGAAAAAACCTAATGCTCCCGTGAGAGAAGTTATCCTTTAAGTGTTTACACAGAACCAAATCTCAGTATGGTAAGCAGCTGCCGCTCTGTTGGCGAGTGTGTGGAGGGGGAGGGGGGGGGGTTGCTTATTTCTACCTGACTTGTGATTGTTCTGGATGTCTTTGAGGGCGCACAAACACCACGCTGCGCAGCAACAACAACAACAACAACAACAACAACCCTGACTGACGGCTCACAACAACAGAGAATGACGCAGAATGGCCACAATCATTTTTGCAACAAGTCAGAAAAATGTGTGAATGGCAAGAAAGCAGAGAGAGAGAGAGAGAGAGAGAGAGAGAGAGAGAGGAGGGTGGGGGGGCTTTGTTTGTGAGCCAGAGCTACAGTGTGTAGCCCGAGCAGTTTAGAACAACGGAGAGTCAAAGTGAGCTTTAATTTTGCTCAGAATGCATCGCCACTCGTCTGCTGGACTTACGTCTAAATGGGAACTTGTTCACTATGGATCTGCCGCCAGGTATTTCACGACAGATTTACAGATTGGTGATGATGATAAGATGCCTTGCGGATGGATTTACTAGAGAGATCTAACCTTGTTTTTGTTTGAGTGTTTGATTACCCTTTGGCCGATTTTCAGCCTATTTGTAGCTTGACTAAATATTGACTTGTGTGGAAAGATCTAGGAACAGGCTACATGTTCACTTCAGGCACAGATGCTGAGGATAAGATATGAAGGTCTGTCCCAACAGTTTAACTAGCAGCATGTGTCCTTTGGTTGGTAGCCCTGTCACCGTGTCAACACTGTCTGTCAGTGTGAGCTCCGCGGTCTCCTGATGGATTTATGACTCATCACAGGAGAGCTGATCCCTGTCAGATGTGCTCGGTGTGGTTTCAACGCCCCCTGGTTTTCTGAACTTCCTGTGGTTTTAGCAGCCGCTGGACTCAAGACATGGGGTTTACCATTACTCAACCATTTTGAGTCTTTGTTACCCATGTCTATCCTTATGTTGTGCAATAATGTGTCACAAGTTTCTGATCCCCGATTAGTTGAACATATTCCTTTTGAATATGTTGATCAAATGCATCAAAGTGTCATCAAATGCTATGTACAGTTGTGTCTTTTGGTGCCTCCCTGGACTTTATTTTATTATATTTTAACAACTGATGATCTTTGCTTAAGTATCTGTACTTTTGCTTTGCTTTTCACCAACCTAGAAATACAACCCAGATGTAACACTTAGTAAACTGCCTCCTGCTACCTCATGACGTTTTCACGCTTTAACAGTAGGACTAAACTTGAATAGCGTTCCCTTCTTTAATAGTTTTAGTTGATTTTAGAATTCTTGCAACGCAGAGAAGGTTGTTAGGTGACTGATCATTTAACCTGAGGGAAAAGTGGAACCTCCGCAAAGGTCAATGGTGTTCTGATTTCTGGGATAGGAAGTTGTTTTTACAAGCGCTATAAAGAAGATGTGTTGTCTTTATTGCTCACAGTGTTAAAGCAACCCGTTAATTGTTCAAGCCGAGTTGTTGGTCCTACTCAAGAGGGCGTTGGGTACAACATTGTTTGATTATTCCGGTGTCACATCAAAGTAGCAGAAATACCCTACGGCATTGTTAATACAAGTGAAGCATGAGCTTAATGCCCCATGATTCGGATCACTTGCAAAATGTTATGGATGCTTCCTTGGCCCTATTTCACGTCAACAAAGTTTCATGAAAATAGGGCAAGTCGTTTGTCTTCTTTAATCAGATCAAAAAGAATGTCAACATTTATACCCAAAGTTCTGAATGCAAATGGCCAAGGGCTTGATCTTTTGCAAATGTCATTGTACGTGTAATTGGCTTGTTGAGTTGCAGCAGTATTTTTAGACAGTTTCACATTGCCAGCTTTTCTTCATACCGAATAGACCGATTATTTAGGCCCACAAATTGGTTATAGTGAGTCCATCCAGTTGGAGACACAACTTATTTTGGGTCTGCCAGATTGCTCATGCTAATCTTATTGTTGAAAATTGCATTGAAACTAAAACATGTACCTCTACTTGTGTCCCACAGAGTGTTTGTCAACAGAAGCTTGGCAATGGAGAAGATTAAATGCTTTGGCTTTGACATGGATTACACTTTAGCAGGTAAGTTTGATGCACCTTTTATATATTTTGTATCTTTTAAAGGTGGGGTAGGTCATTTTGGAGAAACCAGCTCGAGTGCGCTAGAATTTGAAAATACACAACCGGAAAAAATCTGCCACTTCCTTACAGAGCCCCTCCTCCAACACACACAAACGCGCACATGACCAATGAGGGCACGAGATAAGTTTGTGCACAGATGGAAGGCTGACAGACAGGTAGGCCATCCAGTTATTTTAGCCGGGCCGGCTCAAATGATTGGTCGTGCTTTTTACAGCGCTACTGCTTCCACAGATGACATTTCTTTATGGATTTTTTGTCAAAGCACTTCAGATATTCATTGCTATCGGGATGTTAAGAGCATTCCATGGAATATAACAAAAAGTGTATCTCGGGCCGGTTTCTCAAACTTACCTACCCCACCTTTAAGGAAAATAAGGATTTAAGTCGATGGGTTTTCTGACTTCTTTTTAAATTTCACAATTGAACTTTGGCGAAATGTTTTACAGAAATTTGACGTTCATTCTAAAACTATGTGGCATAAATTCTTATTGTTGATTGGAACACAATTGATAAATGTCTTGGTTGATAAAGTAATCTATAGTTCCAACACTGCGCTTTACTTTTTGGTACTTTTAAATGTTCGGTAGCAGTCCAAGTTGGCCAGAGGATTGCATAACAGATCTTCAGTCTCCTGGGTGAATTTAGATTTTTAAAACAAAACAAATCTCCAAGTATTGGATATGAACATATTTTGCATGGAAGTTAAATTCTCACTATCTTATCTTTTCAACTCTATATCTGGCCACCTTACCATCCCCCCAGGACCTCAGCAAATCCACAAAATATTATTTAGGTCAACGCCGGTGACACTTAGATAAGAAAATGTTAAGCCGAGCTCCCTGGTACACAGAGTTGTTCTTGTTCCTACTGACCTCTAACCTGGTTGAAAATACCCTGATTTTAAAGCCACTCTGCGCTGTGACTCAGCTGAAGTTTTGGTCTCGCTGTCTCTATAAATACATTCTCCCTGACTTTGAAAAGCGGGTCACGTTTGTTTTTGTCCAGTGATGGCTTCCATGAGAACGGAGATCAGTCGTAGTCCCTCTCCGGCTCCGCGGTCCGATCCCCGCTCAGGCCGCCGGAGATATTACAGACGCTCAGCTGTTGACATGATGCTCTTTATGGGCGCTCATAACCGAGTGTTAATGTTTACTGAAAGCACGGCTCTCATGTATCTTTCTGGATGCTGTTCAGGTTTAGATTCACAGAGGTACTCCATCATCAGGGAGCTGGTGGTGTCACAGCCCCCCCGGTATTTGTTTATCAGGGGGTTGTTAACGGCATTTCAAATGCTCGAAATGTGGGCTTGTTTATACAAAGTATTTCTGTGAGGAAAAATCAAAAACACAACTTTTTCCGGAATTCAGTTAGAAAGTAGGAAATATCAAGCTGAAAAGTAAATAAATGTGTCTGCTATATATTGAGGAATTTTGCCTTGAAAAATCAAGGTATGAAAAAAATGGTACGCCCTTTCTGATTGGCCAACAGGAGTCCATTAATGTTGTATACCAATTGCTATATAACAACTTATGTGAATGATACTAATCATATATTCCACCATAGAGAAGTTTATCCTTAATGACTAGCACAGCAACCAGTTGTTGACTAATCAATACGTTGGTTGACAAATATATTATAAGATCATAATAATCACGAGTAATTGTAATAATACTGTAATTTTTAATGCAAAAAATGTAGATTTTAAAATGTGGAGATTTTCTGCTTTTCTCTGTTTAATAACATATTAGAAAATAATATTGTTGGTTTTTGGAGTGACAAAACAAGACATTTAAACATTTCTCTGGGCTTTTAGAAATGTTTTACACATTTTCTGAAACTTCGGAGACTGTCTTATCTAGAAAACAATCGGCAGATTAATAATCAATACTAACAAATAGTCATTGGTTTCAGCCCTTTAAGTGGACACTCCTTATTCAGTCATGTTTCATACTTGTTCACCTTTACGTGGTTTTAAAACAAAAAAAACAAGTATATTTTGAGCAATAATTGTATTTATCACCTTATCAAGATCAAGCTGATTGAACATGTCCCAGCCCAAGTTGACATTAATCTTAATTCATCCATAAAAACATATAAAGCTCAAAGGTTGCTGATGGATTTACAACGACTACAATGCGTGCATAACACATGTTGTAGTATTTCACAAGACTGCAACCAACATCAGACAACATTACCTCATCTGTTCTTTGTGCCCCAGAATGTTACCCAACCACTCTGTAAAGCCAAGTTTTCACCGAGAGAAACACATATTTTTGTCCTAGTTTTTAAACACACTTTTGGCTGCCCTGTAGATCCCCGAGGCTGCGCTTCTATTTTCTTCCCGATATCTTTCATGGTGTCATACATCTGTGACAAAGGCCTACATTTGTGTGTCAGCAGCCGCAGATAAAATAAAACCGATGACGCGTTCTAATATAGATAGCTATGTGGCATGGTTCAGATTAAGGACGAAAACGGCTAAACGCATAGGATTAACGCAAACGCAATCGCAAAAAAAAGCTTCCGTCCACACGCAATATTCACCGGATAGTGTCTGTCCACACGAGACCGCTCCGTTTAGCTCCAACCGCTGGAGAAGCTGCAGTACATATGCAGGAGCCTGTACGTGGCGCTGTAACTTCCTCCACAAAAGCAGCGAAGAAGCATGGTTGTCATGGTTGCCCTTCTGTTTATTCTCCGCGGTGGGGGCCGAGGGAACCGGGCAGAGTTTCTCGCCAGTCAACGTGTATTAAAGTTTAAATCTTCCGACAAAATTATAAAAGTGCCGGTCAAAGGTCTTCTTTGCTATTTATTGAGCTTTAAAACAAATGAATAATGACTCTATATAATATAATAATAAAATACATGGAGCCTCTCTTTTTCCTCCCTCTCTTTGGACAGCGTCAGTGTCTGTCTCATGCAGCAGCTGATCCAGTAATGAGTGACCCGGCCGACAGTAAAAATAAACATATTTTTAACTAGTTTAGGTAGTTTGAGAGGTGTCTCCGTCCTGTCAGATTAGACTTCACTCGCGTTTATGTCCATATCGAGAGAAAGATAAATAATCTGAATTCAGTGTGCAGTTTACTTTGACACGGGGTGAGCAGCAGAGGTGGGGAGAGGCGGGGCTATTGCCTCATCATTATCAGAAAATGATCATATAGGGCGCACACACGGAGCCGTTGGACCCCCCAGAGCGTTGGGTATGCCGTTCTATCCACCTTGGGACCCGTTATCGTTTCCGCAGTCGTTTAGTGCCGTATTCTGTCGTCCTCGTGTGGCCGAATGGTCTATATGACACTAAACAGTAACGCAAACGACCGTTTTCGTCCTCGTGTGGCCGGGGCATAAGGCACACTTTCATGGGATTGTGTTTGAGGGCTCTATTAGGAAAAGGGTGCGGGTTGTTTACCTTGTGTGTGTGTGAGGGGGGGAGTACATTACATTTAGGCCTGAGGTGACCTGGCCTGTAGACTCTGGAGAGAAACTCACACCTCAGCCATCGGAGCAGTGGGAGTATAATTAACTGGCAACGATCTCGTGTGTGTGTGTGTGTGTGTGTGTGTGTGTGTGTGTGTGTGTGTGTGTGTGTGTGTGTGGTGTGTGGTGTGTGTTGTGTGTGTGTGTGTGTGTGTGTGTGTGTGTGTGTGTGTGTTGTGTGTGTGTGTGTGAGGGTGTGTGTGTTGTGTGGGTGTGTGTGTGGTGTGTGTGGGTGTGTGTGTGTGTGTGTGTGTGTGTGTGTGGTGGTGTGTGTTGTGTGTGTGTGGGTGTGTGTGTGTGTGTGTGTGTGTGTGTGTGTGTGTGTGTGTGTGTGTGTGTGTGTGTGTGTGTGTGTGTGTGTGGGTGTGTGTGTGTGTGTGTGTGTGTGTGTGTGGGTGTGTGTGTGTGTGTGTGTGGTGTGTGTGTGTGTGTGTTGTGTGTGTGTGTGTGTGTGTGTGTGTGTGTGGTGTGTGTGTGTGTGTGTGTGTAGGACTTCCGCTCCTTTTCTGTTGTATTATCTCAGATGCCTCTTTTAATAAAGGATGCACCCTTTCATGACCGCCCTCAGTCATTGAAAACAGGTCTGCCAATGACTCCACTGCTCAAGCCTTTAAACATTTCAGATAGTGAGGGGCAGGGGTATTGTGTGTCAGTGTTGAGTTAGTTTGTAGGGGGGGGGGGTGTTCAAATGGGTTCAGTGTCATTAACGTCACAAAAACAGGGAAAGAGATGTTATGATTATGGTCAGGGTTTTTACATGTTTGTTAGCACAGATCTGGTTATTATGTCAGACAACATATTTCTGTGAGAGGGGCTCAGAGGGAAAAAAGGTGTTGTGTATTTCTTTGGACAAATCAGATTTAAACATTTGATGTTTTGGTTTCACCTTTCCTTTAGTGTGTTTTTTAGGTTTCTATGCATGAAACGCCTCCATTGGACTCCTTTGTTTACTTCTGTGACATAATGACATCACTATGTAACACTTGCGTTTCGGTTGGCTATCGCTCTAACACAGTGTATGGATAAGGGGCAGGACATCTGTAAACAGTTGACCAATCACAACAGAGCCTGCCAGCTAACCAATCAGAGCAGACTGGGCTCTGGTTTCAGACAGAGGTGAAAAGAGGTGCTGCAGCACAGGCAGGATGAGAAGAATAGAGAGCTTTTTGAACATTTAAGCGAGGAGACATGTCCCAGTAGAGACACTACATACAAATATGAACTTGAAAATGAGCCTTTTAGATCCTCTGATTTGAAACCAGGTTTTCCATTTGGTTCAATTCAGTTGTGAAATTGATGGTGTGTAACAACCCTTATCTGGTTATTATGTAATAAAACAACTTCCTGCTCCTAAATGACAAGCGTGACTCACTTTGACATTACCTAGAGATGAGATTTGATTGCTATGCGAGTGGGAGTACCGCCCCAGTGTCCCAAGGTCAACACGTGGAAAGAGCCCCAGAGAGAAAGAGAGAGTGATGATAGCAAAGGTGACGGAGGGGAATGGCTCTTAAAATAGGTTTCTTTGTAGAGCTTAAAGAAGATTGTGACAAGCGATGGACGAGAAGCAGGAGGAGTACGGGCAGTTTAGTGGCTGTACGCTGCTGCTCCGGGCACCCGGCCCAAAGCCTCAGTTCTGCTGGGAGACCACAGCGGGGAGGGTTGTGGAGGGAGAAAGGGGGAGAGGTTACGTGATTGTAATGCAGAAACAGGCTGATGCTTTCAGAGCTGCATCAACAAAAGCTTTGCTCTACACAAGATTTTCCTGTAACCCCGTGCATACATTAAGCTTCTGTGTGTAACTCAGCACGGAGTAGGACACAGATGTTTGTCCTCCAATGCTGCCCCCCCCCCCCAACCCTTTCTAACTGTCCTCTATCCAAGCATCATCAGCCAACATTTCTCCCCCCCCCTTCCTTCCGCAAGCCCCACTGGGACTGTGGAAAGCAGGCAACAACACAAGCACATTCTCCCATCGTATTTATAACATCTGACATATTCTCTTCCCAGTGTCACATAGCATTTAAATCCTCTGTGGGGTTATTCTGAGCAAAGCATCAATCTGAGTTTTGTTTATTTTCAGACCCCCCCCCCCTCCTCGGTTTTGGTAAATATGTAGTGGTGACATGGTTGGGAGGGCTCATCAGTGACTTTTCATTTTCACGCCTGATCCTGTTTCTTTCTGTGGATTTGTGTGCAAAACACAGAGGGCCTTGTTGATAGCGAGGAAAGAAAAGGGCAAGTGTGTGTGTGAAGGGGTGTGGGGGGGGGTTCACTGGAGAGTGAGAACATGTCAAAATACTGAGACAGCACAACGGACTCTCAAGGGGATGAGAGAAGTCTTGTGTGCATGTTGAGTGACACTGTGATCTCCACTGAGTGTGTGTCGCCTCTAATGAAACCTTGTTAGTTGTGTAATGGCAGGTCATGTTCCTTTAACTGTATACATAATATAGTGTACATTTGACATGTATGTGACATGTTCCACAGGCTTGACCTTTACCACTTCAACAGCTATACATTAGTGACTGTTGTCTCTCAAAGAGCAGGACAACTTTACTGTCACCTTTTGAAGAAATCTGTAGTTATTAAACCAAGGTTCCTTACACACTTTTAACTGCTTTGTGATTTTCTGACCAACATATACAACAATTTAAAGTTTTACTTTCAAAATGACTTTAATTACTGATTGAAATGTTGTTTATCTTTTATATTGATCAATTGATCAGATTCTTTCTTGTTCTTAATATGTCAAAAAATAGTTAAAAATGGCCATCACAAGTTCAAATAGTTTGTTTTGTCAGATCAACAATCAAAAAACCTAAAAAATAATAATATTAACTTAAATCAGAGAAAAAGCTGAAGGAAAAACTTCATTTTTGTAAAACTGAAATCACGGGACTTTTTGAATTATTTTCTTCATAATTGTCAAATATGATATTTATTATATATTCCTTGTCTGACGAGCGACTAATTGATGAATTGACTCGTTATTCAGTTCAAAGTGACCAACAAAGTCTAACAATAAAGCAGTGATCAGAGTAATCGCTTACTGTATATGTAGCATTGAATCTTTTTTTTTTTTAAATGTCAACACCAAAAACCTTTTATATAGCAGATTAGACCCCAAATTGTACTGTAGCATCACATGCATTGTTACCTTTTATTGTGTTGAATGTGTGTGTCTGTTTAATTTCCAGTGTACAAGTCACCAGAGTATGAGTCCCTGGGTTTCGAGCTGACGGTGGAGCGGCTGGTCTCAATCGGTTACCCCCAGGAGCTGCTCAGCTTCGTCTACGACCCGACCTTCCCCACCAGGTCAGATTTCATTAATACTTATAAACCTAGGTATTATGTCGGTAAACGAGACACCCATATGTAAATGAGTTTTGTCATTGTCTGTGTGTGTAAGGTCTAGATGTGTTTCATTATGGAAATACACACTGGAAATGTCTCGATATACCAATCTATTTTTCGGTCTCTTTTGTTTACTTATTGTACTATACAACTACATAGTTTACAATACACCTATGCAGTTTTTTTGTAGCTCTGTATTACACTGAGAGTTTTATATGTCAATAATGTTCAACATTGTGATACACGGTATAAATGCTGCACTGTAGACTAATGAAGCATCTGTTCCCTCCGACTCTCAGGGGTCTTGTGTATGATACCATGTATGGAAACCTGTTGAAGGTTGATGCCTACGGTAACATCCTGGTCTGTTGCCATGGATTCAACTTCCTCCGAGGGTAAGTGTGTCCCACATCCCCCCCCCCCTATCATCTGAAAAGGATCATAAATCATAATCCAGTTTGATAACTTTGCAGGGTTTGTTCAAAGTGTTGAAAGTTTGTTTTCTAGCTTGGTATTAATACTTTGATTTCAATTAAACTCCTTTAGAAATGCTTGATTATAATCACATGTTACAAATATGTTATTGAATTATAAGCTGTTAGTTGGTTGTATTTTGGGAATTTAGTTAGCTCAAAATTAAATAATCGTGATCAAGAAATGAAATGAATGTTGAAATGAACAGCTGTTAGAATAAGCAGTTACATTAGGGTTGAAAAATGTTGGTTAAATGACCTTGAAAGTGCTTAAAAAGTGTTTGAGTTTAACTCTTAAAATGCTTTACCAACCTTGATTTAGCTTTTTTTCCGACATTGTCAGCTCTAAATATATCAGCTTAAAAAAAAAAAAAAAGGGCCAACAAAGATTTACTCTTGTCTTTTTCTCCTTTCTCAGCCCCGAGATCCGCGAACGGTACCCAAACAAGTTCATCCAGAGGGATGACACAGAGCGCTTTTATATCCTTAACACACTCTTCAACCTGCCAGGTAAGGCCTCTGAGCTCAGAGAAACATCACGGGACTGTTGCAGAGAACATAAGCCTGCAAGACTTTTAATCTGATTTAAAAGCTGAACATGATGTTATGGGAGATTCAAACCGAACATTTCCCCTGTCAGATGATCGAGCTGCTTCCTCACTAAAGACCCCCCTTCCCTCCTTTCTTTTTCTTTCACAGAGACCTACCTCTTTGCTTGTCTTGGGGATTTTTTCTCCAATTGTGATAGATACACAAGGTAAGGAACTGTTTGTAACACTATCTGTCATGCAACAAGTGTCGGGTGACACAAAGACAGTTGCTCACCAAACCTGGGTCAGCATGGGAGGGGGCAGGTGTCTCAACCGCTAATCTAAGCTAATTGTTTTAAATGGAAATCAAATGGGAGTACAGCCATCTTTGTTTCTCTGTAACAATGATTTATATTAATCTCTTCTACTAATGGTAGAAAAGCATGGATTATTATCAGAGTGAGATAGGAATGAACAATGTTCTCACTAACTATTTAAAGAGAATGCAATCCTGATATAGCTACGAGATAATCTTTTAAAATGTTACTCGGAGCAGACCTAATTTCCTGTCAATCTGTTGAGAGTGTAATCTGGAATGGTTGCATGTCCTTTGTCCTCTGAAACCTGGTTGTTGGTCTTTTAGGGGGAGAATGCTTTCCTGTTTGGCTGGGGACCCCTCCAACAAGGGAAGGCTATCCCATTTAAAAGCAAACAAAAAAACAAAATGTCATGTTTTTGAAAACCTTCTGTAAAAATGTGGCCTGTCCAACGGCTGTGCTCGTGTGTGTCTGTGCTCCTCTCCCCCAGCTGTGAAAGTGGCTTCAAAAATGGCGACCTCTTCATGTCCTACCAGAGCATGTTCCAGGACATCCGCGACGCCGTCGACTGGGTCCACTTCAAGGTGAGACCCCTTTGAAAGTCCTTTTCTCAGTCTGTCAGTTAGTAAATACGGAGTTATCTGCACTCTCTTTACAGCCACCAGTCACAAATGACAACAAAAAAGTCATTATAAAGAGGCCCTTAAAAATCACGTAAAATGAGTTACATTTTGAAAATGCTCATCTCCAGTTGAAGTAGTTTGTTATCTACCCCCTGTTCAAAGCCACCAGACTCGTTCACAAAAACAGTAATTTCACCTCACAGAACGTGGGATTCAAAAGATATTCAGACATTTCTTTGACAAAAAATAACTTTCAATTTTGATTTGTTCAGATTCATGAATTCATTGTATTGTCTTTAAATGTTACAAAATGGTGAACAATTCCCATTACAAGTTTAAGTAGTGTGTTATCTAAGTTCTCTAATGCCACCAGACAAAAACAATCATTTTACCTAGTGGAAGTTGCAACATTTTCCTCAAAATCCATAGGCCATTAACTCTCTAGTTGTGGGAAAAAGGGCCAATAGATTCTATAGCATAATCACTTTCTATTTCAAATCATTTCTGTTGCAACTGCTCTCACATTGTGTGACCAGTTGCATCTTTTCACTATCTAAAAAAATAAAAACCTTGCTTTGCTCGCTCCCTTTTTTTAGTACTTACTGCTAAATGCCACGAGTCCTTATGTGCTCTGTGGGTTGCCACTGACAACTGTTACTCAACTGTTACCATGGCATTCATTATTCTGACTCTCGTGTCTCTCGTTGCAGGGTACTCTGAAGCAGAAGACAGTGGAGAACTTGGAGAAATATGTTGTGAGAGATGTAAGTAGTACTTGTATTTATATAGGAACACATTCTTGTTATAATCTGCTGGTTTGTAAAGATGCTCAAGTCTTTTTATTTTCCCTCCAGGGGAAGCTGTCTCTTCTCCTCAGCAGAATGAATGAAGTAGCCAAGGTTTTCTTGGCTACCAACAGCGACTACAAATACACAGAGGTGAGTAACGGTGTTTTCAAGGATTATGATGAACTGTGCGCTCCAAATCTCCCTGTCAGTCTGTTTGATCTACTCTAAACACTGCGGTGTGTGTTGTGTTCTTTCAGAAAATCATGACCTACCTGTTTGACTTCCCCCACGGCCCCAAGGTAAAACATTGCCCCCCCCCCCCCTGCTCTTCACACTTTTTAATGTGTCGAACATGCAGGTGAAGGTGGAAGACACATTTCTTGCTCTTACCTACGCGTGGCTTTACATCCTGTGTGTGTTGGTTTTACAGCCTGGAACCTCCCACCGGCCCTGGCAGTCCTACTTCGATCTGATCCTGGTGGACGCCAGGAAGCCGCTGTTCTTCGGAGAGGGGACGGTGCTCAGACAGGTGGACACGGTGAGCAGACACAGAGCTGAGACAGTGTTTATCGATGTGGAACGCAGAGAGTTATGGACATGTTGAAGCCTCTTTTCTAGAAATACATGACCTTTCTCAGACTGAAATTATAATATGTGTCCCATTGTCTCCCATTTAGTCAGTGTCAGTTAGTTTCTTTGGTCAGTTTGCAGCCATCCTCTGCACACATCTGACACTGCTTCTTGAAAAAACGGTTTTAAAGAATGGATTTCAAATTTGTTGTCTTGACATATAGTTACAAAATACAGCACCCAGACAAAAGTAGACAACATCTAGATGCTCGTGCTCTTATTCAGCTTCACTCATGATTCAGATCAGAGTGGGGAAAGCGGAATTGATGTCACAAAAACAATAATTGTCTCAAACACAAGCATGAGTCATTAGGCGCTTTCACACCAGTACTTTTCCCAGGAATAGTTCCGATAGTTCCTGGGATTTTGCATTCACACCAAAAAGATCTGGAACTAGAACTTTTTTTTGGGAACCTTTTCACCCCTTTTCAGTCCCTGCTAGAGAGGTGGTACTTTCCTGGGGAGGAAAAGGTTCCAATTTCTGATTGGCTGGGCGAATTGCAAACCACGCACCGTGAAACTCCGAAAAGTTTTGTGAAGCTGCCATTTTATTTGCTTGCATTAGCATTAGCATTAGCCCAGCGCACCAACGGAGAGAGTCTAACTTATGGCAACACAAAATAAAACGTGGGAGCGGTGGAGTGATGAGCAGGTGTCGGCGCTTCTGGTGATTTACCCGGGACTTCGGGTGGCAGAATACGCCCTGAAGTTGTTTGTGGCCTGCCAGTAAACCCAAAGCAGAAGAAGTGACGTCAGCGGCTTCATTTGCGTAATGCTCCCTCAGGGACTTATTCCGGTGTGAACGCGATCTACTAGATAGTTCCGGAACTAAAGAGTTCCGGGAACGATTCCTGGGAAAAGTACTTGGTGTGAAAGCGCCTATTATGAGTTGTCTTTGTTTTCCCATTACTTTCTAAACAATCTGATAAATTGTAGTCGTTTTCAGATAGGTTGGATTCTACAAATAAGGACAGATATTCTCTTTGAGAACAATTAGCATGAATGACATGGGGAACGACTACAGAGTTTCTAGTTATGCACGAAAAAAGAAAACGTGTATAGACTTGATGCATCTTCAAATCTGTGTAAAATGTAGTTTTAGCATGTGGCTTTATTCAGGTCCATTTGAGTGTTTCACCTCTGTGATTGTGCGAAGGCCTTTCTAACCAATCGGATGTTGTGTTCTTTATTTCAGATAACAGGGCGTTTAAAGATTGGAACCTACACTGGACCTCTGCAGCGCGGCATCGTCTACTCTGGAGGTCTGATTATTGTCTACCAGTCTTCCATTTTTTGACCTTGTGTTAGTTTTGTTAGATAGGCAAGGCAAGTTTATTTATATAGCACCTTTCAACACAAGGTAATTCAAAGTGCTTTACAAAAATGAAAGACATTAAGAGAATTAAGAAATAGTGCAGAAGAAACACATTATAAAATGGGATTTTAAAACACTCATTTAAAAGCAGGTATTTTAAACTCCTTCTACTCCAGGTTCCTCTGATATTGTGTGCGACCTGCTGGGGGCCAAGGGGAAGGACATCGTGTACATCGGGGACCACATCTTTGGAGACATCCTCAAGTCCAAGAAGCGCCAAGGCTGGAGGACGTTCTTGGTGATCCCCGAGCTCGCCCAGGAGCTGCACGTGTGGACCGACAAGAGCTGTGAGTCTGAAGGCAAACACGTAAACACGGGCCCTAACACACGTGTGTAGTGACATTTAGAAATACTAGCTTGACCGCATATACTAGAGATGCCCCGAAATATCAGCTGCTGAGCGGATTTGGACCATTTTCAGTGTCAAATTGACATGCATGCACAATCGTTTACATCATGCACATAGAGACACTATGGCCTGTAAAAAAGCCACAAGCCACATTTTAGCAAATATATCATATTGTAAATCATATAAAGTAACCGTAGTGACTGGCTCTTCTGCCAACAGCGGGGGGTCTCTCCCCCTCATCTTGCTGTGTGTGCAGTCAGTGGGTGTGGGTGAAGGACAACGCTTGCTGCAGGAGTGGGAGTTAATATAATTTAATAAACACCTTTTCATTCTTTTAAATGAATTATACAATTTATTTTACATATTTTTTAAATGTATAACATATGTCTCTTTGTGTATTTCTTGTGTCTTATGTATTATTATGAGCACACAGATTTTTTTCAAAAATTACAAAAATATTTATGTTGTAAATAATATTGTGTAGAAAGAAGAAAACAAGTCAGAATGTCCCACTTGAAAGACATTTTATCAGACAAGAAAAGTGAGCCGGTGCACCTCTACTATGTATATGTGTATGTATCTGAATTTAGACTGGTTTCCCAGTACTGCAGTCCTAGTGGCATAGAAACCGTCTCAGCAGGGATGTGACCTAGAACAGCAGCCGCAATGTCAGACCTGTTAACTCAGAAAAACACTCTAAGTAAATACGCTAAATGTGATAAAGATCATGAGACCAGAAGGTACAACGTCAAAACACTGCCTCCTGAACGCTTCATTGATACACTGATACTAGAACCCTGTTTTCACGCTCTTCCTGTGTTTTTCAGCGTTATTCGAGGAACTGCAGGGCCTGGACATTTTCTTGGCAGAACTCTACAAGTAAGATCTCCAACCTTTGACCTCTTCACGTGACTTACATCAGTTTTCTGTTTGAGGGAAAACAACAGGTTCGACAGAGTAAAGTCAAAAGGGTCGACTCTATCCTGATAAGCGGGGTTCACTGACGTTATTTTTAACTTGGCACGACTTGTCGTTGCATCAACTCTGTGACAGATTACCTTTCAGCAGACATATTTATACCCCCCCCCCCCTCTCATCATCTCACTGTCTTGTTCTCGTCCTTCCTCAGACATCTGGACAGCAGCAGTAATGAGAGGCCGGACATCAGCACTATTCAGAGAAGAGTCAAGGTACAGCCTTAATCACCCCTGTTTCTATGACAACAGGAGACCTTTCCACATGCCGCCCGGAAACGGCTTAGTTATCAATGCCCGCATTTACAATGTGTACGATACCATTTATGAGCCTACTATTGGTGAATCATTAACATTGAGTCACTACGGTCTTATCAATGAACAACCACACCTATATTTCTGATAAAGATACTACATTTTTTTGACTTATTTACATTTCTTATATTATCTTTTATGTTATCCTTTTATGGCACATTCTTACTTTTTATGTTATTATAAATATTTTAACCAATTTCAACTGGGGTAAAAAACTGATTCTGATTTTAAATGTGTTTTTATTGTACCTTTTTATAAAAAGTATTTCTGAGCCAGTTGAGCCTTTATCATAGAGATATATATGAATGGGGGGGATCAAGGGTCTCGCCTATAGAGACCCCAGGCCGTATTCAAACCTCTGCAAATGGGACCCCAGCTCTACTAAGTGAGCTGTGCAGCCCTAATGAATCATTTGAGGGTCAAAGTTGTTTTTGACGACTCACCCGCGTCTTCTCTTCTGCTTTCTCTCTTTTAGAAAGTGACCCACGACATGGACATGTGTTACGGCATGATGGGCAGTCTGTTCCGCAGCGGCTCCAGACAGACACTGTTCGCCTCCCAGGTGATGCGTTACGCCGACCTGTACGCCGCCTCCTTCATCAACCTGCTGTACTACCCCTTCAGCTACCTCTTCAGAGCCGCTCACGTGCTGGTGAGTGTCTGTGTGGAAATGAAAGAGTACTGTTATGAAGGACCTCTAATGAGGGAGAAGGAAAACACAAGTGTCAGAAAAGGTCTTTCTTTCCCCAGTTACCAAACAAGTCTCAAGATTAAAATGCATTTTAGGCAAATGATACACAAGTATGTTCAAATCACAATAACTGAAACAAGGGCGGGATCAACTGCAAAAGTTGTGGGTAATGGTAAACAAATAAACAAACGGTCAAAAAGACATTTACTAAATGTTGCCTCTAGGATACAGCAGACACAGGATGAGACGAGTATAAAACTTGATGCTAGTTCCGCCCTACAGCTTCAGCGCTATCTCAAACTAAAAGTAGGTTATCATATCCTGTTACACAGATACCCACAAGGCTCATAAGTAGGGCACTAGGTCTCATTTAACAGGTCTTTGAACTTACCCTGTGTGTGAATCTGGCCATCAGCCCTGAGTGACTCAGGCAGTAGAGGAGTGTGAATACTTTAACATCAAACATCATATTTCAACTCAAAATAAATGTGTGAGTTTTTGGCAGTGTTACACATGTCAATTTTTCAATGATTGGAGCATTTTATATGCATGTAAATGAGTAGAAAGAAAGTAGAAAAGCATCAAAATAAATCTTGGTTATTAAAAAATCCCCCTACAGAGGTAACTCAAATGTACGTTGTTAATGCTATATCGCTCTGGAGGGCCGGTGCCTTGCTCAAGGGCACCACGGCAGGGCCCAGGAGGTGAACTGGGACCTCTCCAAGTAGCAGTCCACACTCCATATTTAGATCAATTCGGGGACTTGAACCAGCAGCCCTACGGCTCACAGTCCAAGCCCCTACGGACTGAGCCACTGCCGGACTTCTTTTCTTCTTGTTTTTTTAAATCGGGGATTATGCTTGTAATGAATCAGCAAGATCAATAAACTGTTCTGTTAAACGATCTTTTTATTCCCCTCACATTTCTACTTCCTCCTCCCCAGATGCCCCACGAGTCGACGGTGGAACACGCCCACGTGGACATCGACATGGAGTCGCCGCTGGCAACGCGCAACCGCACCCACTGCAGCGACTGCAAGGACCTGGAGTGCAAACGCAGCCAGCTGACCCGCTCCTTCAGCGAGATCAAACCCCCCAACCTGTTCCCCCAGACTCCTCAGGAGATCACTCACTGCCATGATGAAGATGATGATGAGGAAGAGGAAGAGGAGGAGGAGGAGGAATAGGCTGGACATGGAGATGAAAGGCACTTCCTGCTCCTTCCTTTTCATGTTCCCAGTAGAGTTGGGTAGTTGTCTCTCAAAGTGAGGCATCTGCAGTGTGTGTGTGTGTGTGTTTGTGTGTGAGTGTGTGTGTGAGTGTGTGTGTGTGTGTGTGTGTGTGTGTGTGTGTGTGTGTGTGTGTATATCAATACTGTATACACACACACACACACACACACACACTGCAGATTCCTGAGGAAAGAAAAAACGGACCAGTAGCAAACAGATCATATGACTGTCAGAAGACTGTATGCATGCTCGGTCCTCTAAAAGCTAACTTTCCCTAGCTTCCTTCCTATAGAAAAAAGAAACACTTTATCATTTTTTTTTAATTAACTTAATTATATTTTCTGTTTTATTTTCCCCGTCAGACTTAAAGAACATCCCATACTGTTTTTATAATCTGACTTGAAAGGCCTGCTGGTGAATGAAGCAGATTGCGTAGATTCCTAACATATTGTTCGATAACAGAGAAAAAAAACACTGCTCAGCTTCAGTGTAAAAAAAAAGATGCACACTGTACTAAAACACTTTCTTTTTCTTTTGATGCAACATGGGAACAATGTTCAGTGTGCCACCTGTTTAGTTTCTTTGTGTCTCTTTCACTAGTACTTTGTTTTGAACCTTGTGTGTGTGTGTGTTTGTGTCTCACTCAGAGCGCAGCATCCTGAGTGACGGTAAGCTAAGAATGCCTCGTACTAAACTGAAGCACAAGCCGGCGTTAAACAGATGCTTTTATTTTTGGTTGAGAGAAAACACGATATTTTGTTACCAAGCAACAATAAGTACAGAGTTCTGTACATGTGTATTATGCCTGCCGCAGTGTTGCTGGAAATAGCAAGCGAGCGGTTTAATGCCACCAGCTGTTAACATGCAGTATTTCTTCTGCACAGTTAATTTGAAGATTGCCTTTTGAAAGGGTAGATGTTGCAGTCAAGCTGATTTAGAGATGTGATCTGTCCACTGTGTAGTGTGAAAGTGGCCTTAGTATGCAAGGAAATAAGGTGTTTTCAGGATGTATAGTATACAGATAACTTTAGATAGACTGTCTTTCTCTTTGGTTTTGGGGCTTTGTTGGGTGTAAAATCTGCTGTGTATCTAACAGTTTTGTATAGTATTCTCCTGTGCAGCCTCTAAACACTGTGAAGTGACTATATGCTAATTCTAGCTCTGTTAGCAGTTGAAAACTAGATGATCTCTGAGTTTAAGCGCTTGACTTCACATTTGCATGGCTAAAACGGCAACTCGATAGTTATCAAGATATATAAATCGTTCGGTTTCTTTATGAAGAGTTAAACTCTGAAAAAGCTCCGCTTATAGGCCTCATCAGGTCGTTGTGTTAGGACTTCATTGACAGTACATTATTTTCCATCCATCCATTGTTTTACTCCAAAAGGATTGGAAACGCCAGGAGTTTGAAGACATAACAAGACATTTGTGTGTGCCTGTGTGAGGTGGATAGCACCAGCAAAGTGGGACAAGTGCAATGGAAGCAGTCTTTTTTAATGAGTTTTTAAATATAATAACTTGTTGCATGCTCCTCTTCTGCAATGACACCACCAACAGTTTCATTCAACTCCTAATATATGCAGAACAGCCGTGTATGTAAACTAGCATGTTCAAGAATGTGCATTAGCCAACTTTCTGTCATTAGATTTTGATTGATATGTTCCTAAATTCTGATTGGTTAACAGAAGTGACATCACCGGTTTTAAACAGAGCCCCGCCCACTTCAAATACTGGGAAGAGCACAGAGACGAGCAGAAACTCCGATATCTGTTGTGTGAAACAACACAAACTGTTTCCGTCAGTCAGTCAGTGTTCATGTAAAGACCCCAACACCAATGATAATATCTTTTTTCATCCTTTATTGTTAATTTGTGTTCTTTAAAAACGTCCAAATGCGCCAGTGTTGCAGAACATCAAGAGAACTGCCTGATTTTTTTTTAAACACATTTATTTTCTTGTAACCATTGTATCCTGTATGTTAACGTTCCTCACCTTTTTATATTTAGTCTCTACATGCTGTATTGATACTGTAAGTGTTGGAGCGGCAACAAAAGGGAAGAAACATGCCGTCTACTTTTTGCATCATTTCTTTGTTTGGCTTGATCTGCTGTGGAGACAGGTGCATTTGTTGAACTGCTACTCAATGGAAGAACAGCTTGTAGGACATTCTCTTTTATTCTTTTATATTTCCTCCTTTTTTCTTTACAAATGAATCATTTTGATTCGTTAACGTAGAATAACTGGATACACCAGGCAGCTGCACTGCTAATAGGAAGTAGTCTTTTCTTTGCATATTTTGCATATGCATGTGAAAGTAACACATATCTGCTCTGCTGAGGCGGTGGTTATGGTAGCGTCTGTTGGAATTCTATGTGGACCGTTATAGGAAAGCTATTCGTTTAATTTGTCATTGTAGTTTACACGGGGAGAAAAAACTACAAACCTGTAAGATAAAAGAAGAAAAACGTACATGAGGGGACTTTAACAGATGTTACTTGTTATCAATACCATGGGGTTATTTTTATTTTTATAAGCTAGTGTTTTTAAATGGCCCTGGTTTACAGAACTGTAAATAGACCTTTCCATTTTCTTTTTCTTACCTTTTTACCTGACTTAATCCTGGCAAATATGCCCTAATGCATCAACATGAACAGGTGCCAAGACACTCACCTTTCATTTTCTAAACTATCTTTTGTTTTTATGCATATCACTTCATGTTCTCCCGAACAGTGTTTTGTTTGTTTGTTTCCAGAAATTATCCTACAGACTGTACATTGAGGTAAATTACATAAAAATGTAGAATAAAGATAGTTTTTCATACTTTTCTTGTTGTTTTTTCTTTTTACTACTGTGATATAATTATTTACCTCAGGTTCACCTTGTGTCAGGTTGTTTTTACACAAAGGGGCCCTATTATGTTTACTTTCAGGTTCATAATTGTATGTTGTGCTTCTACTGTGCCACTTCTCCATGCTTTAATGTTCAAAAAGCTCTTTATTCTTCTCATACTGCCTACTGCAGCACCTCTTTTCACCCTCTGTCTGAAACCAGAGCCCAGTCTGCTCTGATTGGTTAGCTGGCCGGCTCTGTTTTGATTGGTCAACCGCTAAAAAAATCTCCTGCCCTTTAGAAAACCCCACACAATGTGTTGGAGCGCTAGGGGGGGAGACAAATTACATGCACAAAAACCTTAACACACTAAAGGGAAACCCCCAAAAAGCACAATAGGGCCTCTTTAATTGCTGATAGCTTTGTTAATAATAATTCAATCAAAAAGTGGACTGTATTCAAGTACACAGAAAACCTCTTATGGGTGGCCAAGCCTTTTTTGATTGTGGGCCATACATTAAAAAAAATTGCAGCCACGGGCGAACAAAAGTAAATGCATAGTTTTCAACCAGTTCTTGATCATTGTTTCTAGACCATAACACCTAAATATTCAGATGTAACTATCAAACAGGCATGGTAAAATGGGTTTGTGCCAATCAGAAGACTTCACAAAATGTAGTTGACATCTAGTGTTTGAACTAGGATATGCAATGTACATCGATACCACAACTTATTATAAATATGCTGAACTGTATTAGTGTATACAGTATTTAGTATATTCATTTGAGAAATGTTGAAAGAGTTAACAACATTTTGTAAATAGCAATGCTGTCCAAAATATTAATTTAGTATATTGTGTGATAAATATAAAAATGTATATTGGATGGTAATCTACATGCGAAAAATATAAATATATATTGGTATACAAATCAACTGCTTATTGTGATAAATGTCTTCACGATCAGAGGTTCAAACTCAAATACTGAATTTTGAGTTTCTTAACTCGAGTTTTCCATTTTATGATTACCTTTACCTCTACTTCCTCATATTTTGGAAGCCAGTATTGTAATTCTAAATATAAAATATAAATCCAATAAATTATGCTGTATTTTTATGGACTTAGTGAGATATTTAATAATGAATTGGATATTCTAAATAGTAATTACTTTTATTGTTGGTCATGTTTATTTTATGCTGGTATTTATGTACACAACTAGCTTTTGCATGCCAGACTCTTGTATTTTTACACTGTAGTATTGTTGCTTTTAACTAAGTAAAACAGAATATAAACAGCATTTTGAGTTAACAAGGTACAAATGAACAAGATCTATTAGTAGACCAACACATATTATCCATAGCTAATACATCATTAATGGAAAATGTGAGAGACAGGATGTCAATGAGGGCACACAGCTCATTTTGACCCTGAGGTTGATCATCATGGATCTAGAAAGAGTAGCAACAGTAAAGAAGACAAAGGGGTGGAGGCTGTAGAAAGTTCTACAAGGTGATGTTTCCATTGGTGTAAGACTTATGCAATGCCTGATGGCAGACGTGCATGTCATGGTGGTTCACACACGCAATAATAAGTTCAAGGGCAGTAAATACAAACCGCTGTAACTCAATACACATTCATGTTGCGCAGCCAAACGCTGTTCAAACCCTAATTCAATTCAAAACCTTTATTTATCCAGGTGAAATCCCATTGAGATCATTGATCTCTTTTTCAAGGGAGACCTGCAGCACTAAGAATCGTTCCTCTATTTACCAGCTGGGTCTGAACGCTGGTGGTGTTTTCACTTTGTCAGTCTGTGTCATCATGGCAAAATGTGTGAGAACCACAGTGGTGGAAAATAACTAAATGCATTTACTCAAGTAAACTTTTGAGCTACTTAGACTTGAGTATTTTCATTTTCTGCTATATTTGAAAGGCACAGGTTATGTTTACTGCATTAATTTTATAACTGCAGATTCAGAATAATAATACATCAAATAGATATAACAAATCAATTATGATGTAATGCAGATTAAGATACAACTTGTATCTATTGGGGTAATATTATACCAACAAAATAAGTATGAAAAGTAATTCAAAGATCTCCAACTCTTTATAGGGAGTACTTTTAGTATATTTTTAAGCCAATACTATTATACATGAGTAAAAATGTGACTTTCCAAGTCTTGAAGTGAGACTATTTGGTTAAAATTAGCCACTTTAGTCACAATTACAGGATGCTGTAAAGTAGTATACACAGCAGTAGCAAAAAGCATTCAAGTCAGCAAACCGACCACAGGGTCTGTCACAAAGCAATATCCAGCTAAAGTTTGATTAGGGGTGCATTTTATTGCCCGTGAACTTCACTTAGAATTGCTAATCTTGTACAATACTACAAAGTGTTTGTACATTTCTAAAGCGTACCAATAACAAACCTGATAAGAGAACATTCAGAAGCAGCAGAGTTTTTTTAAATCGAGGAGATTAAGCCACTGTCTGTCTGTTAATCATTCACTTTTTTATTAAGCCACCAGCTGCAGGAGGCAATGGGAATGTTGTCGTCAGGTAGAAGAAGCATTATGGACAGCACATGGGTACAGAAGTAGCAGCATTGGGATGGACAAAAGACCAGTTCAACATAGGCCGGCAAAGCATTCACATAATGGACGGGTAATAATCTTGTGTTCAGCAGAGGATGGGAGGAAAAGAAGATAAAACGTGTGTATAACAGAATATTCAGTCACAGGTGATGCTTCTTCCCAGTGTTTGCTGTTGTGCGTTTTTTTAATTGTCTCCATGCTTCTTGTTATCCTGTCAGGCACTGAGTCTGTAAAGCACAATGTCACAATCTGATCTCATTCATTGCTGTATCTCCGGAATGATTGTCCCAGCAGAGCAGGAGCGGCCCGCTGCATAGGAGCACTTTCAAGTAAACAATAAACAACACAGCTGCAAACAATGCAGACGTACTCTATTTCTGGTTATGCAACCGAGACGACCCTCGTAGCCAAGCAGATGGAGGGGCTGTTTGTCCATGTGTGCTGTGTTCAGGGGCTGTTACAGACACATTGGATTACATGTGGAAACAGCGACCACCAGTGGATTCAAACTGCAACTGAATATTTAAAAATAATTCAGCTTTGAGGACACTGTTTGCCTGTAGGCTGGCCAGAAAACTGCCAACCAACAGTTATGTTAATGAACAGGCCTGAAAGTGGAATTTAAGTAATTTTTGTTAGAGAGTTAAAAATCTACGCCTCTACAGATATTAAGTAAACTGAATTTACTCTACATTAAGACATAATGTACTTTTAAGAAACATTTCAAGCACAAATAGCCTAGTATCTTATCACTCATTCCTGTCTTCATGGGGTAAAACAATTAGGGCAAGAAAGTACAAAAGAAAGAAAATACTAATAACATAAAAAATACTTTAAGGAATAGTTTGACATTTACACTTATTTACTTTTTTGCCAAGAATTCCGTGAGAAGATTGAGACCACATATCCTAAATTGGAGCAAGGAGTGTTAGCTTAGTTTAGCATGTAGACTAAAGATTATTAATTACTACTCCAGGAGGGATGTGATAGTCCAAGAAAAAAGTTGTTTAAGACTAAGGAGAAATGAATAGGCTTCATATATGGTAGAGTAGTAGTGTTTTTTATTAGCTTGTGGGCAGAGCCAGGCTTGCTCGCTAGCTGTTTCCAGTTGTTATGCTAGGCTAAGCTAACCGACTATAGCTTCATATTTGAAAAAATGGTGGTATCAATCTTCTTGTCTAATTCTCAAAAAGAAGACATCTTAGTGTATTTCCCACAATGCCAAACTATTCCTTGATTGTGTGTTCTTTAAATTGTGAAAGAAACAAACATATATGGGTACAGTGTTTCTAAGATAAAATGAAATAAATATATCTCTTTAATAGCAGCCAACATTTGTGAAGAATATACTTAAAACGTCAAACTGAATTAAATCAGGAATTATTAAACATGGATTAAAATCCACAATGTGTGGGGAGCCAAAACAAGGAAAGTCTAGTCTCTTTCACATTCACTCCTGTCAACAGCCTTTATCAACTAAACCAAAGGGCTATGTTTTGTAGACACACAAAAAAACACATTCACACATAAACAGTGGAAAAGCATAGCTTTGTATCATTCATGGACATGTTTAATGTCGAGGTTACTTTTTGTGACGTTGATGATGCTCAACATGTTAGATGAGGTCATTAATACTGTGCAATTATCAAGCTTGATTATGCGTAAAATTGGCAAAAAAAAGACACAACCTTCCCACAAATAGGTGCCGTGTTGGCACTTTTACACCCTATCCGTTTTCCCCCCCTCCCCATTTCATTACACTGTGGTGAATAGTGTTGGCATCATTAATCCCATATGGACGTGAGGTCAAAGGATGCAGAAACATGAAAGAGACGAGGAGAAAGAGAGACTGACTAGGACAAATTTGCTTGTGGATGGCTGCAGTTTAGCATTTTTCAAAAAAACAAATATACATACAGTACATACAAATATATCTGTCAATTTATAATACAGTGATTTTTGAAAAATTCATAATCATCTCTTAAATAAATTGCTTTTCATTGCACTTTGTTAAAAATAATTAATTATATGATTTCTCTTAAAGGCAATAGTGTGATTTTTTTAAAGGTGAAAAAGATAGTGTACCATAAGCCTGATTTAGGATAATAGTAAAAATAACAAGATCTGTAATATACATACTGTATCTGTAAAAGACCCTCACCTCCTCATTTACATGAATGGATGTTCGTCTCCATATATGTAGCATGTCCTTTTTGATATGACACGTGCGCCCCTGCGCACACCTTTGTGTACATGCTTATCGGCATGCTCTTATGCCAGTTTATGTCATATCATGTCTCCACGCGTACATATATACATACAATATTATAAAATAAATAAATACAGGATAACATTCTTGGTTCGTGGTTTTTAACGGTTTTCCTTCAAAGCGGTTTTTGGTGCAGTCTTTGACCAATCTCTGCTTGTTTGGGTTTGAGTCCTTGCTGATGGGATCAACAGTCGACTGAGCCTCCCTGAAAGATGCACGGGTGGGGGAGTTGCATTTGTGTGTGTTTGGGGATTGTGACCGTTTGAATACGTGTGTTTTGCAAAACAGTCTGTGTCCAGTGTAAGAAGGGGGGACCAAAGTCTTTGGCCTGAGAAGAAAATACAGCGAGTGTTGCGTTTTGTTGTGTGTTTCAGGCATAGGAACTGGGTTTGCATGCACTCTGTCATCTTTTAGTCAGCGCTATGAAAGTGTCAGATTGTCCCAAAAAGAAGCTCAGTCGCAGGTACTGTCTGAGTGCACCCCCTGTGAGAGGGTGAGTACAGCAGGGATTCTGACAGCGTTCAGGTAGGGGGCGTTCAGGGGGCGCAGCACCCGTCTTCCCCACTTGCCCCTCCATGAAAGGGTCTCACTGACTGACAGGGGGCTACTGGTTGGAGCAGAACCCTCACTCCACCCGCCTCCACTTCCCCGCTTTCCCTCATCACCTACGCCACAGCGCTGCGCGTGTCCACGAGACAGGGTGGAGTCTGGGTCTCCACCGGGCTCGGCGGGGGCTAGATGGGTCCCTCGTTGTGGGCGGTGTGGTTACTCCTGTTGAGACCCACACAGTTCTGCTGCTGCTGGTTGAGCAGGTGGGACGTCTCGTTGGCGATGGTTACGGACACGGCAGGGGTGGTGCTGGTGGTGCTGGTAGTGCCGGCGGTGCTGGTGACAACGACGGTGGGGGTCTCCACTCCGTCGTGGAGCTCGGTCAGCGTTAGCTCTATCTTAGTGAACTCACTGTCTGTCGACTGTGGCGTTTTGTCCATCCGGGACGCCATTACAGCGTTCTGGTACTGCTGGCGTGTTACCTAGGATAATAAGGTCAAATGTCACAGCAGTTGTGATGGTAGGTACTCCCAGAGCAACCTGCCTGATGACCTCACACTTAGAAAATCGTAATTTTTTTAATTTATATATGAAAACGTTTTTATATTATATATATTTTTGCATATGTGTATTTATTTGTGTATTCAAGTTCCTTTGTGTAAAATAAAAAAGTATATTATGCCAAAATATAATAATGTATACAGTATACTATATTATAAGTATAGCTAGTTATTAAAATGTCATAGTATTAAATATCATAAGAAAGTCACGGTATATGCTTTGATATATTATTCAAAAGAAATTGTGAAGCTGTCATAAAACATAGTCATCATATATTATTCCAAAAACAGTCAGTATTGTATGTCTTAGACAAGATATAGTATTGTACATTATGAACTTTTTGGAAAAGTCATAATATATGATGTCATAAAAAGGTATGTCAAAAAGTCGTAATTAAGTCAAGCATAAAAAAGTAATAGTTTAGTATATGTAAAAATATCATAGTGTGGAATGTAAAAGTAATTCTAAAGTATATAATGAAAAAAGTTTTAAAAATAAGTCATAGTTTAGTAAAAAGCCTGTAAGAATCTTCTATTCCAGCATTTATATTTACACATTTGAGTCTCAGTGGGCTGGTCTTGTTCATCTGTGTGTGTTCTCACCTTTATATACTGCAGGTCTGTGCGCGCTCTGACTGAGTAGTCAGGTACGTAGATCTGCAGGAAGGAGTTGAGCTGGTTGTTGCTGCTGCCGAGCGTCGGGGTGATGGCGTCGATACGGTCGCTTCTGTTCAGGGAGTCTGAGTGGTTGAGTCCAAACGGCCGCGGAGGAGATTTATTTTCTGTGAGGAGGTGATGAGAGAACAGAATTGATTTAAACCAGGAAATGTAAAAGTATCTCAGAAAATATATTTTCAACCTTGGCTGTCGTCAGTGCATATATGTTTCGTTCACAACTAAAAATGGTTAAAGGTCCCATGTCATGGCCATTTCTACTGATCATAATTCCATTGTTGAGGTCTACTAGAATAGATTTACATTGTTCAATGTTCCAAAATCACATTGGTTTCTCATATAGCATCTCTGTATAGTATGTGTATTCACTCTCTGTCCTAAAACGGCTTGTTGGAGCTCCTGCCCCCCCCCCCCCCCTCCCTATGAGCCCACTGTGCTTTGATTGGTCAGCTCGCCCACTCTGTTCTGATGAGATCACCACCGTTACAGCGGAACATCAGTGTTTATGTGTTAGAATGGCGTTTGATAGCAACCAGAAAATGACACCAGTAATGACAAACAGATGAGAATGCTGCGTGGGGTCTGGGTGCCGTGTTGGCGGGACGTTGCACGGCTCGCTGCTCCGCCTTTTGAGGCTCGAGGAGCAGACAGTGTGAGCTGGATTACTGGTGTTGTTTCCTGGTTGCTGTGTGGGGTCTGCGAGACAGCGAGACACCGCGGAGATCCGCGGAGCCGTGGCGTGTGTGTGCTCAGGCTGAGTTCCACGGAGCCGCGGCTGAGAAAAGATAAGGCTGAGTGAGTGCGTCACTATGACCGTTACGTCACTATGACCGTTACGTCACTATGACCAGGAAGAAAAAAATTTAAAAAGAAAAATCTCCAACAAGGCAGCATAGACAGGTATTTTCTGTGTTAGAGTTTTACTCGCTACAGGGTGTACTTTGAGGGTTTGCAGACCGTTTACATGCATAAAAAGCTACATAACACACAAGGGGACGGGTAATAACCGGAAAAGCATGACATGGGACCTTTAAGACGTGGAAAAACAAATCACCCAAAGCTATAGTCATTCAACAACAGAGAGCTCATGTCACAGTCTGATCTCTGCTTGAACTCATTATTAGGGAATGCTTTTACTTCACATGTGTGTTGTCATCTATTCTGTAATTTCAATTGTCCCTCCTGGGTTGCCATATCCAGAGAAAAATAGCTTGAGGCCATTTTTATATGCAGAGTTTGAAGCGGGGACTATTCTACGGAGCCCCCTAGGGGACATGGAGAAGAAACAAAAAATTGGTTAAAAAATATCTTGTTTTGCGAGATCTTGCAATACTTTTCATTTAGCTCAATGTTCTTCTGGGTCATTTCAGCAACACAGAAACCACAACAATGGAGCGGTTCATCGATTTTTACTTTGAGCTTGGCCTAAAATATAAAGATATAACATCAGTGCTTGGCAATAGTCACTGGTTTTACATAAGTGAAAGACACCTCAAGAGAACACTCAGAGCGAGGGGACATGCACGTCCAACCCAGTCTCACAAAAAAACGTGTAATAACTACGTTGGTCCACAACGTAGGACGTAGTATTTCTACAAAAACGCCTCTGAAATTGTAAGATCCCTACGTTTTTTTTCACCATTCATTCCAATGGCTGGCGTCTATGTCACGTGATCTTCACATTTCTCCCTGCAGAAAAAAAAAACATGGCCGAACTTCGTTTTATTCTCGGTGTAAAATGCCTATTTTAAAGTTAGTTTGGCCATTAAAATGCGTTTTGATGTCATTTGATGCGAGAAATATGAGTTGTTATTTCAGATTATGTGTGCAGTGGATGTACATGATCTTTAGTTTGCTAGTTATTACGAAGATTACTTCAGGAAATTGTGTCCATTCAACGTTTTCATTGTTACCAAGGTGGTTGCTAGGGACGCTGCTATCGATATTATTTCTGTTATGTTGTGTAACAGTTTAATGGTGTAATCTTTATTGCTACCCCCTTCCCGTCAATGTATAGTGTTGGTCCACAGCGCAAACGTATTTGATTAATAAACACAAGTTGGAGTCCGTCAGGACCGAGGGTCGGAGCAGCTCATTTGCTTTACAGAATATTACACCCGGAAGTAAGTATTCTCTCCGCTTCGCTTGACAAACCCCGTGATAGTCCTCAAGCTCTGTGATTGGAGAGTGTGCCTCGAACAGCACTTGAAATGGGATGGAACCACGGCAGACTGTCCAAAACTGGATTTGAACGGGTCCACCCCGTCCCCGTCCCCAGAACTACACATGCTGGCTATTGTGTTTCGCAACATGCTCTATGGCACGTCTCTACTGGGAGTTGTAGCTTTAAAAGACGTTTTCGTATTTCCCATAATAAGAAGTGGCCAGTATTCAACTGTGTACATCCCTGGAGGTTTAGGGCAGGGGTGGGGAACCTCCGGCCCCCGGGCCGTATACGGCCCGCGAGACCATTTGGTATGGCCCTCGAGGTAATTTATAAACACACGCAAAAAAGAAAAAAATGAAAGAAATCTAGACCGCAAACAAATTAAACAAGCGAGTGCCTGTTTTTCCTGGCCAAGGTCAGGGTCCTTGAACACAACACGAGCCTAACGTGTCATCACGTGGTATATGTCTCGTCTGACAGGGGTATAGTTCTGACGGAGAGCACCAGAACACCGCTCCGGCACTTCCAAAAATTGCAGTAGCCATTAGGAGCCGTACACATGCCGCAGTTTTTGCGTGTCTGTGTCTTTAGTTGAAAGCCCAGTGGCGATCTGTCATCCTGATCATACAGTCAATAACTGTGTTGTTATTAGCATCTGGTTAGCTAGCTATGCTAACGAATATAAGAAGCTTTTTCTACAACCAGTGAGGTAAAGGCACATCTTTATATGATCATTATTATAAAAAAAATAAGAGAATAAAGTAAACAGGTATAAAATACTATATGACAGTAAAAAAAAGTTGTTATTAATAAACAAGAATACAGTTTGAAAGGAGAGTGATTTGTAAAATATCCATAAAGAAAAAGAAAATCTGCTTACAGTTCTGTTTCATAGGTGTTGAGAGATGTATCCATAGAGCTCCTAATGTTGCTCTCAAAGTGCACCAGATTGATGCTTTTAACTTCAACATTTAAAAACAAATCTTCCCGGGGGAGCATGCCCCCCGGACCCCCCTATAGGAGGTTAGGTCCCCCCCCCCCCCCACTTAAATCATGTTCACATGGATAGGAAACTAAATTGCACACATCTTGTGTCCATATCTTTCTGTTTTGGTGGTCATGCTACAACTGTGCACGTGCATGCATGCGCGTGTCATGGTAAAATATATGGATTAAGAGGTTGCTTTTTCTTTGCACAGCATGAAAGAAAGGCCAAATGAATGGGCTGTGATTTTAGTTTTTTTAAGCAGAGGTCAATAATTTGTACGGCCCTCGGAGGATGTTGAAAAAATTGAAATGGCCCTTGAGAGGAAAAAGGTTCCCCACCCCTGGTTTAGGGGATAGGAAACACTCAAATGTAAAACATATAATTAATAAATGGGTGAAAATGGCTTGTGCCCATAATGGGCAGCATTGCCCACATGCCAGCTAAGGTCAGAAGAGCTTTATTTAACAGCTGGTCTTATGTCTGTGACCCCTCCTGTTGTTAATTGATAAGCCTGAAACATGCACTTGTCAAGGTTCTGAGGCACATTTTGCAAATATGGCAGTAGCCATCGATCAGCTTAAGATAAGATATACTTTATTGATCCCAAGTTGGAAACATTTGCATTACATCAGCATGTGTAACAGTTGTAAATATGCAGTGGTGTTTATTTATAAATCATTTAGTATAATCACACAAATTCTGTGTTTTATATTTAATAATTCTGTGTTCTTTATTTATTGAATATTCAATACCTGACAAGGCCGGAGATGAAAAACTGTGGTCGCAGGTTCCTCCACAGTGCATTACAAGACATCTATCAATATGTGTGTATACCTCCACCATTAAACTGTCATATTCTGCACATTTCTTATACTATCTACATACATCTTATATAAGAGTATAATACATATGTATAATATCAGTTAAAAATAAGTGCTTCAACATAGTTAACATTGCTGGAGGTATACACAAAGTTTTTCATTCAATGCATAACTACACCGTTTGTGAATATGATATGTCAATAAACCTTAGAAAATCTTGAAATCTTGAAAGGGATGTGCAAAATAGTCATTATATACAGTCTTTAATGAACTATTAGTAGAGAATAACGAGTAATGAATATACTTTATAGGGATCCTATTAACATCTAATAATAAAAATAATGAAATTCAATAACATGCTTTAACCACTAGGTGTCCCTTTATATCAGCTGTGCACCTTTATGGTGTAAATACAGCCTATCTACCAATTGGATCAAATATAAAAGTCAGCAGAATTAGTGTTGATACTGCAAGGAGACGTATTGTGTGAAAATAAATGTAAGATGTTGTTTAATGGCTGATATATTTATGATCCATGTCACGTTTTCAGTGTTGGCGACAGTTCCTCATGTTTGTCTAGAAGTCTTCTCATCAGGGCTCTATAAATAGAGAACTACGGCAGATATGTAATATTTAATGCAGCCAAACCGTGTATTACAATGCCGTTATGTGATGAGCTACAAAGAGAAAAGCAAGCACACTCGGAATAAAGTGTTTTCGGTCTGTTTCCGGTATTTGTTTATGACGATCTGATGTGAGATGTGAGACTGGAATTGCACAGGGGAAAATAACGTATCTATGCCACAATTTTAGATGCGGATTTTGTTAAACTAATACGTTTGCGCTGTGGACCAACACTATACATTGACGGGGAAGGGGGTAGCAATAAAGATTACACCATTAAACTGTTACACAACATAACAGAAATTATATCGATAGCAGCGTCCCTAGCAACACCAGCATGTGTAGTTCTGGGGATAGGGAGGGGGGGACGGGGTGGACCCGTTCAAATCCAGTTTTGGACAGTCTGCCGTGGTTCCATCCCATTTCAAGTGCTGTTCGACGCTCGGCGTAACCCTCGGAGCACACTCTCCAATCACAGAGCTTGAGGACTATCACAGGGTTTGTCAA